AGATGTGTATAAGGGGAGGGTGAGGGATGTTTATGATTTATTTAAGATCTAAGTTGTATTTTCCTTAGTTAAGTTCTTTTATTTGTTTAGCTTTAAGTTGTTGTTTTACACTCTGTTCATTAGTTTAAGTTTGACTGCGCCACTTTCTTGCGTGCTGCCACTGATGTAAAAGTGTAATGTCAATAAATATTATTTATTAAAAGTTGATCAAATGTATAATATACAACCATATTATGGTTGTATAGCAAACGGAACGTAATGACGTGTTGACGCGGTTTGGCGTGTGTCAATGCAAACTGACGCGATTTGACGCATTATTAGTGAGAATTAGTGAAAACGATTGTTACGGTTGAGCTGACACCATAGAAAATAAAATAAACAAGTTGTATATTATTGCCTGGGAAATTTGTCCCAAATAATTATTAAAATATGAAAGAAGTAAGTTGTTTTCACTTTTCATCCTCTCCATTAATATGTGTGTTGTTGTGCGTCTTATAGAATAAGAAAGATTAGCATGAATATTACTAGGCCTATATAGGCCTAGAGCTAGGCTAGCCCTTTTTTTAGTAGTAGTAATAGTAGTAGGGAGGCAGGCCACTAGGCCCCTCACTTGTCCTTGCCTAAGCCAGCTCTTGAACTTAATGTTAATAGGCCTGCCTAGCCTAGAGCTATACCTAGCACGACAGTTCTAGAATTATAATAGTACTACCAAGAACGCAGCTGTTTTATATGCAGAATTTCTTTATATATTAAGTTGCTTTAAATTAAGTTGTTTTCAATGTTTTTTTTTAAATAATATAATAATACAGTACAACTCCAGAGAAACAATTTTAACCTTTTGTTCTTGTACATACCTACAATGGGAAGAATAGTGAAATATATTTGTATATATATTTATCAGTTGTTTTATATTTTATTTAAATGTAAGTAATTATAGTTGTTCTATGCCTAAATGATGTCATTTTTACATTTGAGGTACATTATTTTTGACATCCTTTGAAAACATTTTCTCTCCTGAAGTATTTTTTTTCCAACTTTTTAAAAATCATTTTTAGTGGTGCATTCACCATTTCCAAAGAAAGTGAAGTCAGAAGCGAAGAAGGCTGCAAAAATTCTTCACAACTTTACATTTCCAACAGCATCAACAGGTCCTGACAAATTAATCCCAGGTAACTCACATATTTTTTTTCATATTAATGACCAAACATTTAATGTCATTTTAATACAGGTACCTGTAATTCATTTAAACTCTTTTTAAGACTGTTTTAATAAAAGTGTGGTTCTTTAAATATGCAATACATCTTATTTTTATTTTTTTTGGTAGCAGTACAGGTATATCATAAATTGTTTTCCTTTTAAATACTGCCCTGAGTTTGTTTTTGTATTCCTTTATTTATTTGTCAATAAAGTCAGTGTTCGATGATTATAGAACATTCACATCCAATTTAAGCATAAATTTCCTGGATCTCCAAGAAACAAAAAGAAGGAATAAACTGTTTAATTTTCATTGTTGTCTGTTGGTTTGAATGGTTTTCCCTATTGAAAACAATCAAATGATTTTGTTTATTTAGCTGGCTTGTTCCTGTCATGTCGTGGGATAGCCATCTTAACTGTGTTCAAAGCTGGTTTTCTTGTGACTGCAAGAGGAGGAAGTGGAATTGTCATAGCTAAGCTAAAAGGTGGAGGTAAGCATGATTAGAGATCAAAGGCGAATTCAAGGGTGGAGGGAGGGTGGAGCCGACCCGGGCCCCATCCCCCCCTCTGAATTTTTGAAAATATCAGAAAGATATATTCAAATTTAAGTCTGAGGGTGCCATTTCCGATCATCTAGAGGTGCTATAGCCGTAAAATTTATAGTTAAAAAAAGTTTATATTATATTTGGGTAGATCACATTATAAGCTTTCATTTGGTCTTTGAATGGCTTCCCTACTGTAAGTAAATCCAGAGATGTGAGTATTTAAAATTTAATTGTATAAGAACCACGTTTTGAGAAAATCGGCCTCAAAGAAAAACTAACCTGTACAAATAATATGATGAGAATTACAGAATATGTGCAGAGAACACTGTTTTGGCAAGAAAATTCACTTACAAATTATACAATCATAAAATATAAGTATCAAGTTATTCAAAAACACTAAAATAAAAATTTTGTAAAAATGTTGACTTTGGCCTGTTTTGGTGAATATCTCAATATGATTTCACCAACGATGCGTCTCATTTCGTGGTGACACCTCACATATACTTTCCCACTTCTATACATGTTTTAGAATGGTCTGCACCATCTGCCATTGGGTTAGCTGGACTTGGTGGAGGGTTTGAAATAGGAGCAGAGGTAAGTGCTAGAAAAATTAGTTATTTCTAACATAGGTAATTGTGCTCTGATGGGTAGCTCAAGTAAGTGGTTCTTATCCATTTGATGAATTTATACCCACTACTGCAGGGAATTCCACACAAATCAAAGCACTTTTTTCTATGGAACAAAGAATTCCAATTATCAATTCTGGATGAAACAAAACATAAATAAATATTAAGCTTTCATTTGTAATCCTTTGCTAGTGTAATCAATCAATTTTGAAGAATAATTTGATAACAGTTCTGTCTACCTCTACATTAATTATTATACTAACACATTTTATTAAACTGTCTTTTCTTTGTTAATTACATTTTTGTACAATAGGCTTCCAGGATGTAACTGTTTTATATCTTCTGTGTGATATCTGGGTTTGTTGCTCTGTTTCAAAATTTTATAGTTTTTGTGTGGCATGATTATTTATAGCTTCATAATCTTCCATCATACAAGAAGTTATACTATATACAATTTAGTTTCTATGTCTGTATCTACAGTAGCTGCATGTTCCTACATTTGTATGTTACATAAATACCACCATCTGTGTAATTCTATGTGACATGATTATATAAATTCCTACTCTTCCACTTCAGTGTAGCATCTTTCTGTAATAGTTCATATTTCATACTACATGTAATATATTGATAGCATGATATTAAAATTCATACATTGCATGTTTTTATCCCTTTGCTCACTGACAGTAGCTTCATTCCTGATGATGACATAATTAATGTCGAAATATTGAATCCCAACACGATGGCGTGTATTTCAATACTGACAGTAGCTTGTTCAATAAGAACTGACATGTTAGCTGACAACAACTGTTCATTTTCAATTTTTCATGCTACGTAGTTAATGGTAGATAGTACTTCTGTGTGGCATGCTACAAGCATGTTAGCTTTGTACATGGCTGCAACGTATTCATCCATTGTTCCATACTACATTATTTGTATATTCGCTTTCCACTATGTGCATGCTGTGTTGAGCTATAACTATATGAATGTTATAGATTTTGATTTTCTGTAGTAAAATTGTCTCATCTTTTGTTTTTTTCAATTTCAGGTGACAGACTTTGTGATCCTTCTCAATAAACAGAGTGCAGTGGATGCATTCGCAAAAGGGGGAAACCTTACCCTTGGTGGGAATGTGACAGTAGCCGTTGGCCCACTTGGCCGCAACCTAGAGGGTGATGTTTCACTTCGTAGCCCTGCTGCTATCTACACATACAGTCAAACCAAAGGGTTATTTGCTGGCATTTCTTTAGAAGGAGCTGCTTTGATTGAAAGAAAGGATGCAAATAGAAAGTAAGTGTGAAACCTGGTAAATGTTTACACTAGTCACGCCAATTCCCCGTCTTGAGCAATGTACATATTTTCTACATTTTTCTTTTATGGGCAATGTTAAATGGGACACACACTGGTGGTAGACTGACTTTAGATGATTTACCATCAAGAGTAGAAAGTGATTACCGTAAAAAAGTTAATTTTGAAATACTGTATGAACTTTTACCCTGATCGGTTCCGCTTAGCATAAGCGAGTTGGCACAGTGGGAACGGTTGGGTTTCCCAACCTCAAGATCTGGATTTCAATTCCTCACTGTGCGTTTCGCTTAGTGCTTTTTAGCAAGGCACTTTATCTGCATTGCTTCTCTCCACCCAGGAGTATAAATGGGTACCTGGTGGGGTTGCCTGCTACTGCGTCAATATGGCAGCAACACTTAAGCATGGGGACCCAATGACCAGGGAAACAAAGCGCTTTGTAACCTATAGGAATAGGCGCTATATAAACACCAAATAACAAAGATATATTAATATTAAAATTATGTATTATCACCATTAAGAGTGATGATTGATTATTTTAACAATTTATTTTAATCATAGGTTCTATGGCACTGAAATCCGGGCGCATGAGATCCTCAGCGGGTCTGTTGAACCTCCTGATGAATGCCAACCACTTTATGAGGCTCTTCAACAGCATGTCAAGTCGGGGCTAGATGCTTTGGGGCAGATGGCCAAAAAGGAAGCACATAAGAAAGGCAAAGAGGCTATGGGGATGGCTAGGCTCAGTTTGATGGGCAGTACTAGGAAAGAGAAAGGTGAGGAACTGTCTTTTTTTGCATATTCCCATTGTGTTATAGGAATACCATACTAGGTACGCTAGTCACTGGTAGCCAAATATTCTCACAAAGAATGGTTAATAATACTAATAATAATAATAATAATAATAATAATAATAATAATAATATTACCCACTAATTCTCTGCAACCTTCAGTTCACCAATCTTTCAATGTTACATACTTGAGTATATAAATAGCGACCTCTTTTAAACACAACACTACATTTCATCAAAAATATATTGTGGTAGTTGCAGAATGTGAATATCACGTTCTACTTCCCTGCAATGTTTTAATACTGGCTTTCATTGTGTCACAACAGTATGTGGCTAGCGCCCTCTACAGTACTTTATTGAAACTACCATTCCTGTAAATTTTTTTTGTAAATCTGTTATTTTAGCATGCATTTTTGGTTTGATTTATTTGATATCAACTCAACAACAATACAAAAACCTGGTATAGAGAATACAAAGAGACAATATTTAGAATGCAAATCATCTTTGTTGACATCTAGGATAAACCACTCTAAATCCCAACAAAGGATTTATTTCTAAAGGGGTCCCAATATATATTTCGCTCATGTCTAATCTTTCTGAATTACTAATGTCTTCCATAGTTAGGTTTAACTATTTATTTTAATAGGTTCTGTTGAAACACCCAGTCAGTCAAGTAGTGAAAGCAGAAGACCCTCACTTCAGAGTTGGCATGCCAATGCTTCTCCCTGTCCTGCCTCACAGCCGAGAAAATGGTCTTTCCAGTCCAAGAGCGCCAGTTCGAGTCCAACTAGTTCTCCGATAATTATGTCAGAGCCACCCTCATCTGGAGTAAGTTCCAAGAGTGGTTTTAGGAGCAGTTTAAGAAGCAGTTTCAAAAGGACTCCTCAAGCACAACAGGCACAAGTGTCAATGCATAACAGAGACTCATTTGCCAAGAAAACAAGTAGTACTTCTGGTAAGGCCAATTGTTATGTTGTAATGTATATTATCCAGGGGAGGATCTGGGTTCAAACTGGGGGGGGGGGGTGTGTCAAAATGTTTCCAAAAAACCCCAAAGAGGAAGGGGGTGCGGGAAAATGTTGATTCTTAGATGGTGGGAAATGAGCTTTCCCAACTTCTGAGGTGTCTTTTAATCAATTTTATGTTCTTAAAAATTCAAGGTTTTCCTTCTCTTAAAAATGGTCAGGTAAGCTTTCTCATTGTTATTACAGTAAATAGGCATATTATGTGTGTGTGTATACATACATAAAAAAAATTGAGTAGTTGCATATATTTTTTGTCCATGAATCATTAAACCCCGAAAAGAAAAGCGGGTGGGCGTGTAGTGGAGTTCCTCCTCCGGGAAAATTTTTATTCCTAGGTGGCTGGAAATGAGCTTTTCCAACTTCTAATTTTCCCATTGTAACAAAACAAATTTCAGCTCACAGGTGATTGAAAAGTTAGGTCTAGATTTTTTTTTTTTTTGCCCAAGGCGGGTCAGGACACCCCTGACCCCCCCCCCCCCTAAGATCTGCCATTGTATTATCTATGGGTTTCTTTTTACCTATAGTTTTTAAAATAAAGGTCTCTATTTTATGGTGAACTAAAATAAGCATGTAAGTTAAGTTGAAAACTGTATTTACTGGCTTAACTTCTATGAACCTAAATAAATCCATGTTATAATTAAAGCTATCATTGTTGTGTGTATATTTTTCAATTGATGGGGCTTCATATTGTTATTCGTTGAAGTTCAATTGTTATTCATTAATGTTCAATCAACTTAATTCCTAGCTTGTACATTTATGGAATGCATTTATTTTGTATCTGTAGATTTAACAACACCCGACAAATGGAATAAGCCATTGGTTTGTATTGCTGAGCGGTCGTTCACAGCTATTCTACCATGTGACCTCACGTTTGTTACAAATGATCGTATTATCATTCTAACGCGGACTGATACTCAATTTGATTGGTGGGAAGGTGAGGTTCACGGCCGTGTAGGAATATTCCCAGCCAACTTTGTTAGAGTGATTGAGTGAGCATGCTAAATATTTTATTGATATTAATGAAAATGTGATGAATTGAATAATTGCAGTTTTTTTTTTATTAGTAATTAAATATATTGTACTGCAAAATCTAAATCTACTATAAATTGTTAGATTTAAGCAGAAAAGTAGAAGGAGAACAGGATTTTCTTGCCAATTATCAAACTATTACATAGTATCACATTCCCATATCTTACTGGTAGCAAGTGCAAGGATTTAAATGAATCAACAAACCATCTATAGGGTACTACAGTGTTACGTCACTATACCATGTGATACTACTCTGGTGCTATTGGCGACACAAAATGCGTTCAACCGACGCCTTTTTCTCCACTGACAAACCATTGATCCCAATTTCTAACGTAATTATTAAGAAGTTCTTTGTGATGGTTAAAAGTGTGTTCAATAACTAATTTAATGCTAGCCTTTTGTGTTTTCAGTACATTTTGATGGTAGATTATTAGGTTTTAAAATGCCTATTCCAGAAAGCCTATTCTAAACCATTAAGATTATGAAGTCATTCAGGCATAATGAACGGTAACTAATGTTGCCACCTGGTGTTGTGACGACACGACCGTTGGAATTTATGGGGTATGTATATAGGGCTAACTGTTAGTTGATAAAAATTAGCTCTTTTTGGGTGTGTATGTATATATACTGTACATACATACATCTGTCTCTTATACACATCTAGATGTGTATAAGAGACAGGTCGAAGGTTGTCTAAAACAGTGCTTAGAAGCTTTGCACGCTTTCACAGGTAATGCACCTCATATTCTAATACTAATATGCATACTGCACACCTGGTATTTATATGTTAATATAGGCCTACATATATAACACTAACAGCTGATGATAAGCTGATAAATATACAATACTGCATAATTGCACACCTGGGAACACGAATAATATGCTAATCTAATATGCTAATCAATTTCAAGATGATAGCTGCACAATGAGTATGTTTATATGGAAAGGAAATCTCCAACATATATGATAATGATATTCTAATCAATTTAGGGATGATCTCTACTGCACACCTGGTACGCTAATGTGGAGATGAGATCTCCAACACACATCCTAAATGCTAATAATATTCTAATAAATATTCCAGATTCCTAAACCTTCATAATTTATCAAAAATATGTTTATTTCAGGTTTTCTTTTTTATGACAACATTAGTTGTTGGGGTGGGGAAAAAATAAAGAAGTATAACTAATGATAACATGTGCAATATATAATTTACAGTGTATCAAAATATACTTCCAAAGGTATATTTTGTTACTGTATTGTTGAGCCAAAAATGAAATTCTTAAATGTTAAATGCCATTGTCATTGTAAGTTGGTTAGTTGGTAAAAATGTCACTGTATAAACATTCAAACACTGTATGAACATTAATATATTTAATTTACAGTGTATCAAAATTATACTACCAAAGGTATATTTTATTATTGTATTGTTGAGCCAAAAATGAAATTCTTAAATGTTAAATGCCATTGTCATTGTAACTTTTCAACACTTTATGAACATTATTATATTATAATATTATATTTATTCTTATGCCAAAAAGTAACAAAGTGCCTTTCCCAACTCTGTGTACTACAAAACAATAAACTAAATTATGTATGCTAAATTTAAACCTGTATATTTTCCTAGATATTTTCTGCTTCTGTGTTCTCAGTCTGAGTACTAATGTTTACAATTGTGAATGTTTTACTTTTTAAGCTGCATATCTTAGAAATGAGTCCATTGGAACTACGCCTATATTTATTATATTAAATAGATTTCTTATATATTATAATTGTAGTAATATGCTTTAGTGAGGGTTGACAATAAATATATGCTTTTCAAAAAATTATTTTGTAATTTCTTTCTGTGTTCTACTTTCTAGGAAAAAAAAATACATTAAACGTTTATACTATTCAGGGATGTATCCAGAGGGGCTCCCCCCACCCCTTTGTACACAGTGTTAACATTTTAAAGCTTATTCTTGAGCCAATACAAATTCTTTTGTTGGCGTTTCATTTTGACTATAATGGTAATGTGATGATGATGAATTTTACTGTATAAAAGTGTCATTTCCGGCCATCTCGAGAGGTACTATTTCCTCAAATTTGGTTGTGAAATCACGTTTTTGAAGTAGGCCTATGTAAAGTACATACTCAAGGACAATGTTTTTAAGCTTTGTTTTCTATGGTAAACACACATATTAATAGGATCTCTATGGTTGTCAAAAATCCCTGATAAAAGATCATGAGAATTTTTTTTGGCGCTTCATTTTGATGGTGATGTGATGATGATGAATTTTACTAAAAGTGTCATTTCTGGCCATCTAGAGGTACCGGTACTATTTCCTCAAATTTTCACCTCAGCTCCAACCATTGTGGGGCTGAGGTGGGTGTCGACTCACAAAATGCCCTCCCCCTCCACCTTTCTGGTATTTTATGTCCATTTTTCGTGATTATGACTTCTGGATAAAGAATGTTTTGAGCAGAGGTGGATTCAAGCCCCCCCCCCCTTAATTTT